ACCCAAGTGCAGCTTCAGCGACCGTAAAGGGGCGCCAGAGAAAACCTAGCAGCCCCTCCCCCTATTCCCACATGCCAGACCGTAGAAGTGCCTGGAAGGTACTTGGAAGAAGCCCACATCACATCTCCATCACCTGTAGGGACAAGTTCACAGACTAATACTAAAGCCCAGCGCTGGTGGAGAGCATCTCAAGCAGATTCCAGTCCCTAAGTGAAACTTTTGATTCCAAACTTCAAGCATCTGCGTTACAGGGATCAAACTGTTCGTTTAAATAACATCATAGTATTGAATCATTTATAAATGTTTATTTAATGTCAGTAATTTTTACAAAGCAAATATTAAAAGCAAGAAGCAATTTTTTGGGCAAAGTATGTACAGAAGTAAAAAGCCTTAGAGAACTAGCAACTCATTTTATAAAATCAAACCATTCTTTCCTTTAGACCTCCTTTAGAAATAATTTATTGCCAATCCTGAACCAAAGCACTAACAAAAAAATTTACAACAATATCAGATAATGTGCTTAGTTCCTGGGAAGTTATAAGAAGATGTAAGTAAAAAAACCTTAGCCACAAATACTTTTATACAGAGCTAATACAAATCATGTTTTGTTAGGTACAGTATCTAAGAGGTTGTTACAAAATATACTTTTTGATAAGGCTTCTTGTGGTAAATGAACTCTCACCATAGCAGAGTAGGATAGAAAAGCCATTTAAGATATTCTGCGCATCTGTTTTCAAGTAAGAGGTAAAGAAAGGGTGAACGGCATAGCTTGTTGCATTGTTGCATACACTTGGTGAGAATCCTTAGCAAGAATTAATCCCTGTCCCTTCCCCTTTTTTTCTGGTACCATCAAACAAGCATGATTAAGGACAAATTCATCACTTACTATGGCAGGAAATATTATAAGCAAGCTTTCTAAGTACAAGGCAAAACCACACACCAAGTAAGTAGTACATTACTATCAGTAATAGTCACTGATCAAAAACGTAAGCAGTGGGTTGCAGCCGGCTTTGATCCGCCTGTACATTTTCATTATCATCAACAGCAGATTTGAACAGGTCACAAAAATCTCTTATCAACCCAGAGAATACTGCCATATCATGAATGCTTTCAGAACCATCAATGTTCCGTATCAGCTCTAGCGTTTGAAATCAGATGGTCAGATCCGAATGCCACACAAGAGAACATATTAATTTAAAAGCGAAACACACATTCAAGTACAGATTTCGGAATGCCAATGGCACCAACATGATGGCGACCAAGAGGTGCTTCGAATGATGGCAATAGTCGCCTCCCGGCCTAAGGCTAGTATCCACCTGCTGGTACTTGAGAAAGCCATCAAGTCCAACTTGCTTAAAATGTTCAGGTTTAGACTTCTACTTCACTCTCTAGTATGGATGCTTTAAGCCCTAACCTCGTACCATAAAATAACGGGTATGTGCGGCGTCATCTGCTGTTTCGCGGAATGGAGACACATACACACCCACGCTTAATCTCTCTCCTCCTGCTTACAAGACTGAACAGCCTCCCTGTATCCTATCATTAAAAAGAAAATGAGACCAGCCTGAGCAACTTGGCGAGGCCTTGTCTCTACAATAAATAAAAAATGAGCTGGGCGTGGCAGCGCACACCTGTAGTTCTAACGACTTGGAAGGCTGAGGCAGAAGGATCGCCAGAGCCCAGCAGGTCGACGCAGGGGTGGCCGTGAACATGCCACTGCACTCCAGCCTGGGCGATGGAGTGAGATACTGACTCAAAAAAAGAAAAGAAAAAAGAAATCAGTACTTTCAGTCAGGCAGCACAACACAAGAACGGATCATCTGTGATTAACAGAAGTTATGTTGAAATGACGAGAAAGAGACAAAGTGACTCAGTACTAAGTCAGATTTCCAAGCGAAAAAGACATGAGCAAAATTTCTGTTCTTGATTCCTCAAATAAAACTAAAAGAAATGAAGAGGTAACAGAGTGACTTTCTCTAGATTTATTAGGGAGTTTGTTACAAATGTTTCACTGGGCTTTACAGGTGTGATTTCATGGATTCAAACAAGAAATTAGCAGTTAACACTGTATTTAGCCTTCTCATTACAAAGACAGAAACAACACTGCTACAAATTGCAATGGAGAGAATCTTGTTTCAAACAGCTTGGTTTGGGGTTTTGTCTAAATGTATCATTATACAATGAAAGCACCAATTTGAGGGTTTCTCAAACAGTGATTTGAGTTTCAGGACATAACAGCATAACTCGGTAACTTTATTCTTAATATAAATAAGGCTTAATTGGATATGTGTACTAATGCCGAAAATACGTTTTATCAAAAGCATGAATACAGGTATTTGGGTAGAGATTGAAGGCTGAAGATTTACCCATTCTTTCTCACAAGAAATTACAAGGGCATATGATTTCTGTGGACTCTAAATCAGTACTTCCAATAATTTCTATTATCAAGGGGATCTTACTTCCTTCTGCTGTAAACCAACCACTGCCACTAACTGAACAAGGATTTCCCTAAACAGCCACAATTTGAGACTAACCCGAGGATCTTCTCTATGTGAAGTACACGCTGATGCAACTTAAAACAAGACAAAAACAGATCTTTTTCACTCCACGCTGCCTTATTCTTTGGTTGTAGGAGCACTCCAACCATCAAGTGCCCTTTTCAAGCAATAAAACGAAAACACAGATTTCAATTTAATACAATATTTGGCAGACAGCAACATTTCAGGTCACTACAAATATTTAAGTGGCAGAGGCATGCCTTGGATTACTTAGATCTTCAGCAAACATTTGACAAAACCCTTTCCCCATAAAAATTAAGGTCTAAATTTGTGTTGTTCTTGATTTATAAGGCAACTCCGTAGACTATAAATTTCTTCAAGGTCGATAAAGCCACTTGTGTGATATTTCTTCAGAATTAAGTGAGAAGGCATTCAGATTTAAGAACAGAATGTAAAATAGGATCAGGCACATTTTATTCCAAATAATAACCATAAAGATTTAGAAAATCAAACACACCAAAGAACTTTTTTTTAGAGACAGGGGAAGTTGGCATAGTAAAAATTATAAGCACCTTTTCAATTCTGTTCACTAAATTTCATTTCATCTCTCTTCATACAGTGGTATTTCAAAAGGATCTAGTTGTCATGATCCAGGTATAAGACTCCTTCAAATGATTTTAAAATACAACACGTAAATGTGGACTAAAGCCTTTAGATTCAATCTTCAGTTCTATTAGATGTCTAAACAAGCTAAGTTAAATATAAGTAATTTACTGCCTCAAATTGAGTCTAGATTTTGTTTTTTTTAAATGTTGATTGTGAGACATCAAACATGTTAGAGAAGAAAACCGCAAATGCCCAAAACGATACCATATCTATTTGATGTTTTAACATTTCTTGGCGGTAAGTCAAAATGGCGAAACTGGTGAGTTCTGCTTTGTCAAGGCGATATTTATAGTTCCTAACACAGAGCTTAAATATAACTTAAATAAGGCAAAGTGTCCTTTCTCTGTGGAGATCTAACTTTAGTCTTCACTGAAGTTAAATGTTTTGGCCATTCAGTGAAACTATTTGCTTAATTCACATGTTGACAAGCCACTAAACAGTTCAAACGTGACTGTGCACATATTCAGATATTCAATAGCACTGAAATGATGCTAACTTTGTGAATTTAAACAATGCTCTCTTTTGGCAAGAAGCACTAGATGTAGGACTATTCAAACATGTCTGAATTATACTATGAACACCTGCAGTTTGATGGCAGGCTACACGTCTGCAGCTCATGTAAGATCAAGGCATGGGCATCTTGGGCGTTACGATGACAGTGGAACTTCAGAGGCAAAAAAGGGCAGGCATGTCAAGAACAATCCCTGGCTAGCTCCCTGCAGAGCCCCACTCTCCTGGTACACAGCAAGGCAGACAAGAGCCATGGACATGGGAGGCCTAGGGGACCCGTCACGTTGACCGCTCTTTTAAGGACCAGTAAAACACCTGATAACACAGTCAGTTACACAGTACAGTGATGCTACCACAGTCTGACTCAAAATGTCCAGAAAAAGCAGAAGAGTTGTTGGGCTTTTCAAACTGTTACCAGTCTCGGCCATCTCTTTCTTTGATCCAACTGTAACACTACATAGAGCCTGCAAGGCATGAGTTTTAGGACTGCACACCAGCCATCCTGATGCGTCCACTGGGAGCATATCTGTAATCAGAGCTACTGCACAGTGCGTTCTAACTTGGTAAGCAGTGGGGGAAGGTCAAATGTAACCATCTTCAGGTGTGAACTAAAAAACTTACTACTTATCCTTAAAACATTTAAAATATACCTCACAAAGCTGGCCTCATAAACAATAATTATACAAACATGTACATACTATATCTTTTGGAGACACACCAAGAATGAATAGAAATCTCAAATAATGCCTTCTTGAGGTGTGACAGAAAAATACTGCTCATGGCAAGCTCCAAACACACAGAAAAATCCTGTAAACAGCCACAGGATAGAGTTGATGGGAATGGACAGGAAGGCAGAAGGAGGATTTTTGTGATGACACAGCAATGACTTCCTACAGCGAGGACCAGAACCGGCAGGACTCGAAGCAGAACACATGGCATCTGGAGCAGATGGTTATTCAGAAAGTTTGGTGACCAGTTGCTGAAGTTTCAGCTGCTGCCACGGCCAGAATGTTTCACATATGGCACGCTCACTCCCGTGAGAGACATGAGAGAAACTCAGATGTCGTGCGTTGCTTGTGATCACAACACTCCCCTTGGCACGTGCCTGCCTCTGGCTCCCCCGTACCACTTGTGAACGCTTCCTCAGCATCAGGCAGAAATCCTTATGTAAACTTGAAAACACTAAGAACATTACCTTCAGAAACCACAGAAATTTTAAAACAAAACGACTGCTGTATAGACAAGCAATTAAAAACACAGGAAGGCTAAGCTGCGTACATCTGTCAGAGCCACTCCTCAGAGCCAGCTTTCTTCTAACAGCCCATTCAACACAGGAGGCTGCCGTAAGCTAGGCAACAAGTGTCGCCAAACGTCAGGTGGACTGAAGACATCGGACTTGCTCCAGGCCTGTATATCCCCAGCCTCAGACCTACAGTCACTTAAGGACACCTCTGCACTTGGCACTACAGGAGCATTCCATCTGAAAGTGGAAGAAGCCGAAGTCTGAGGTCAGCCAGGCTACAGCAGCTCGACTCAGACGAAAGGCGTGGCAGGGCAGATCAGCCTGCGCGGCGGCAGGTCTCTGTGACGTGTTCTTCAACAGCGCTCAGCCGCAAACCAAAGGCCGCAGAAAGGGGACTTGGATTTCCAAGATGTTAAATACAGATTCGAGATTTTCTAATTCCTGTTGTAAACTGCTATTTTAAAAAACAAAACAAACAGAAAGCATCAAAAACAAAAAGGTATTAGAACAGCAAGTCTTTGTTCATCACTGTAGCATAAGCTGCTTGAGGTTGTCATGAAGAATAGTATCCTTCACGTCACGGAAGACCAGGCGGATGTTTTCCGTGTTGATGGCAGTGGTGAAGTGGTGGTACAAGGGTTTCTGCTGCTGGTCCCGGCGTTTGCTCCGGAAACACTCCACCAGGAATTTTTGGACGTCTCTTAAGCAGTGGGGATCCCCTTCGAATTCTAGGAAATAGTCTTTGATGCTCACAATTTGCACTTTTTCCTCAAGCAAGTCTGTCCTGTTTAAGAACAGAATTATGGAGACATTGCTGAAAACCCGGTTGTTGACGATTGTTTCAAAAATGTTCAGAGACTCCGTGAGGCGATTGGTCAGTCGATCTTCCATAAGCACCTGGTCAAACTCACTTGAGGAAACAAGGAAAAGTATTGATGTCACACTGTCGAAGCATTCAAACCAACGTTTCCTTTCTGATCTCTGACCACCCACGTCAACCATTTTGAAGGGAACATTTTTAATTTCAAAGTCGTATTCATGAATGCCTTTGGTGGGTCTTCTGGCAAGCAGGATATCTTGCTGTGATGGAATGTAATCCTGGAAAAGAACAATAATCCACACTTAGTAATCCAGGAGTAATTATTAGCATTTTCAGTGGGCTACTAACTGGCCTAGTGAACGGATATGCAAACAAAATGACACTTTAAATGACACTTTCTGGTATCTCATTCTTATTACAAAATGCTAAGATATGTAAAACCTAGTTTACAAAGACCGGTCCCACACTCGCTGCAAATGGCCGGCATCTACAATCTTCTCACCCAGCAACGCCCGCGCCCCTCAGCTTGAGTCCCCCTGCCAGCTGCCCTCACCTCCCCCCCCCCACTCACCCACCTTCAGCCCTGCTGCCCACGTCCCCCTCCTCGCTGCAGCCCGACTGCCCACTCGCGCCCCTTCTCGGCACTGGGGTCTGAATCCAGCGCCAATTCACAGGCTCATTCCCCAGGCCCAGGTTCTGACCACCTCTTGCTAGCCCATCTTGAGTCGGGGTCTCACTCTGTCGCCCAGGCTGGAGTGTAATGGCACGATCACAGCTCGCCAAGCCTCGAACTCCTGGGCTCAGGCAACCCTTCCGCCTCAGTCCCCGAGGTGCTGGGCTTATAGGCATGCACCACCACACCTGGCTAATTTTTTTATTTTTTGTAGAGATGAGGTCTTGCCCCATTACCCTGACTGGTCTTAAAATCCTGGGCTCAAGGGATCCCTGTGCCTCGGCCTCCCCAAGTGCTGCTGGATTACAGGTGTGAGCTACCACGCCCAGCTTCTTGAACCCGCCCTAAATGTTCCTTTCCTGTGCCCCCCCACCCGTGACTTGGAGCTTCGCTATCAGGTCGCTCCATGCTATGCCTGCTGCTACAGCACATGTGGGAAAACTCCTCCTCTGCTGTAACAACTTCACCACTTACTCCGGGCCACTTTCGGGGGGAGCCTAAGTAGCCACATTCCCACTTCCTCACGTGTGGACCCAAGAACCCACAACCTGTCGACAGCTCTGAGTGTAGCCGCCCCTGCCCGTGGGATGGAGGTCATGCCTGGCCTGCCTACCTGGGAGGAAGGACGGTTGCCAAGGTCAAGTGAGCTCTTCTCTGAGCTCTTAATCAGTGAACTGAGACCTGGAGCAAGCGGAGGCTGCTGGCCACGAGTCACCCGCGGCACCTCACGGCACACCTCCCCATGCAACGTCATGGTTCTTTCTTCTCAGTTTAGTCTTTTTCCAGAACTCTGACACAGCTTTTTGGCAACAGTGACCAGGAGAGCGTTTATGTTTACCATCAAAGTCAAGATATTTTAAAATTCAAAGCAGGATTTACAACAATGCTGAACGTTATTCCCAATACTGCCTTTTATGCCTTTCTGAGTAGTGTGATACGATTTTGAAATTTCATTACATGAATATTCATCTCCTCAAAACGGTGTCATGGAATTAAGGACAAAAAAAGAAGCTGGCAGTTCCTAGTGATCAGCAAGCCACAGCCGCTCATGAAATAGCTCCAGGACTCCAATACAGATGCCAGCTTTTCCGTGTTTTCTTCGGCCTTTTGTTATACATGCCCCTACCTTACTTATAATCAGCACATGCATACAAGTTTCAGACTGCCTCTACATTCTTGCTTAACATTTGATCATGAACTGTTCCATATGTCAATACAGTCACATCTCACTTTCAAAGACTACCAAATATATCAAATGCATCAATGTGCTGTAATTTATATTAACATTTCCCCATTAGTGGCCATTTAGGTTGTCTCCAATTTTTTTGCTGCAATTAACAGGAATCCTACAATTAAACTTCTCATGCACATATTTTTTTCCTTCTGGACTATTTCCTAAGACTAAAGAAATAAGGTTAAAGGCTGCTAATATTTTAATGACCCTAGACACTTGATGCCCAACTGCTTTCTAGAAGGCAGTACCAATTTACAACATGCATCTGTGCCAGCCACTTCAGAAATGTGCCATCCCTGAGCTTTTAGAAAACTTAATTCTATAAAAATAAAGTCTTCTACTCTTGTCTTTAGTAGGAGCTAACAATCTAGCTAGGAAGCTGAAGGCCATTCGCACGTGCACAGAACACAGGATGATACAATCAAGTGGCCTGGCAGAACAGTCTGTTGATGGGGACACAGGCACACGACTGTGTGATGGTGGACGAGTCATTCAACCTCTCTGCATCTCAATTTCCTGGTTTGTAGAAATGGCATCCAGAGGGTTGCTGGGAGGACTAAATGAGCTGTGCTTGAGTGAAGCTGTGCAGGGATTGTGTCTATCCCCACCATGCCTACCGCTGCCTCTGCTGCAGGGAGGGCCACCGAGGAAGGCTGGAACGGCCAGGTACACTCCCATTCAAGTCTCTCACATGCAAATGCTCATCCGTCACCTGCACTTGACAATCTACTCACCATCAAACGCATCATGCTCGAGAAGAAACCTCCTCTTCTTCCTAAGCCCCTCCAAGTCCCATGGGTGTACTTTCCTTTCTACTTACTGTCTGTCTCCCCAGCAATCCCGCCTCTTCGGGTCTCCCCATCACCCCGGACTCTCCTCTGTCACCTCCTGTCTTGTAGCAAACCCTGCTGCTCCTTCCTGCACGTCCCCTTTCCTTGTTCACATGCCCCAACTCTGCATCGTCTCAAGCGTGGCTGCTGACGCATCGCTAGTTTCCTTGCCTCGATGTCCCATGACGCCTCTGGATAAATCTCTCAGTCACTCCCAGACCAAACTTCCTGGGTCACGAATCTAAAAATTTACGGTGGGATTCCTCATGCATCAGATTCAAAGCGTGCCAACTGGCTTCCAGGGCCCTTCTCACGTCTCGTCTTCTGACACCAGCAGACTCTGCTCTGTGTTGGTAAAGCTCACCACAGTGCCTTGCACAAAGCTCCACATCTTACACCATTACCTGTTCATTCTTTGGACAACAGTGCCAGTGCAATAAATAATGCACAAAACCCCGAACTACTGCCTTCTAAAAAGCTGCTTCTACAAGTCAAAGTCAAGCACTTCAAAGACCCTTCATCAGGGCATAACTAAACACATTGGCATCTCCCATCTCAAGGGCCACATCACCTCCTTCTATGCACCTAAGTCCAACTCATCCTTCAGGCAGTTCGACTTCACTTACTCTTAGAGGCTAGCTCCAACTTTTCCAGCCGAGACACCTCGCCAGTCTGTGAACTTATTATCTTCATGATTAGTATGATTTAATTGTCTTCTACTTGTTTTATGCATGTTAGTTCTGTCTCTGGCTAGAATGAGCTCCTTAAATGTAGGGATCAAAGAACAAAACAGCTAACACTGAGCACTGACCAAACCTTCAGGGACATCATCCATAACCCTGTGAGCTCGGTTCTCTTACTATGCCCAAGTTATGGACAAAGAAACCACAGTTTAGAGATGCCTGAGGTCATACAGAGTCAGCTAGGATGGAGGTGGCTGCAGAGCCCACAGCCTTGGTTGCTATGTCTACCTCCCAGAGGGTCACAAGGCTTGGCACATGGCAGGGCGCTGACGGCCCTGGTTCTTCAGTAAGAGGTGGAACAGCAAATGCAATCCTGTGACTCCTATGCACAAAATGGGTGACAAAAATATAGTACACCCAGGTTTTTTCTCCCCACCTTTGCAACTACGTGCTGATCACAGGACTTGTTTTCATTTTATTCCAGATTTGGCCTCAGAATTGTTCTCAGGATAAGAGTCCAAGCAGCTCTGTCAATTGACTGGAGTTGGCCTAGGGTCATGCACTCAAAGTTGAGTGCCTACTTCACACGAGGCGCTGTCACCACGAACTCTCCACCCTTTTCAACCAAGAGCTGAGGTCCTGGCACTTCCAAAATAGATGGGTAGAAACAAACACAATGCCACGATCAACTGTCTGGTATGTGCAATGAAGAAAAAGGCAGGAGCTGGCATTGGAAGAGGGCGGGGCCGACTTTGAGCAGTGTGTCGAGGGAGGCCTCTCGGAAAGGGAGGCTGGGACGATCCGCGGCAGCAGTGTCTGAACGGAGAAACGAGCGGAAGACAAGGGTCTCACGCTGCTGCTGCCCAGGCCGAAGGGCGAAGGCACGAGGGCTTACTGCAGCCTTGACTGCCTGGGGTCAGGGATCCTTACGTCTCAGCCCCCTGCGTAGTGGGACTGCAGGTGTGCCACCATGCATGGCTCATAGTTTGATTTTTCTGTAGAGACATGGTCTTACTTTGTTGCCTGGACTGGTCTCGAACTCCTGGGCTCAATCAAGCCACTTATCTTGGTCTCCCAAAGTGCTGGGATTATAGGTGTGAGCTACTGGTCTATACTTTTTTTTTTTTTTAAGGCTTACAATCTAACCAGATGGAAAAGTAAAACACACCTGAATACAAAGTTTCGCTGATGTGAGCCGAATAAGAAAACTGTGGATAGCCGGGCTCGGTGGCTCAGCCTGTAATCCCGCGCCTTTGGGAGGCTGAGGTGAGTGGATTGTCTGAGGTGCGGGTTTGAGACCCGCCTGGGCAACTTGACGAGACCTCATCTCTACAATAAATCAAAAAGTTAGCCGGGCGTGGTAGCACGCACCTGTAGCTCCAGCTACTCGGAAGGCTGAGGTGGAAGGATCGCCGGAGCCCAGCAGGTCAAGGCTGTGGTGGCCGGGAGCGGCCACTGCACTCCAGTCTGGGCGACAGAGTGAGACTCCAACTCAAAAAAAAAAAAAAGAAACAAAACTATGGAGATTTCAACTTATGGAGTACACTTGTGTCTAGGAAACAGGCAGGAGAAAAATATATTCACTTAAAGGTAGACAAATGCAATTTAGAAAAATACAGAGAAAATGTAAGGATTAGCCTGCTAGAGTAAAAAGAAGGTACTTTTCCCACACGCCCTGAATACATCAGGATGCTACTTTCCTACTTGCAATAAGTTTAAGTTCCCCTTCAGTTATATTTTTAAGGTCAAAAACTCCAAAGAACCCATAAGACCACATTAAAATTTGTAACAAAAATTTACTTTATGAGGAGGCAAGTGAAGCAACACTAATTTAGTAAGTAACTCTAGGGCAATCGTTTTCTTTTTTTTCCCCTTCATTCAGTAAGAGTTTATTTAAATACACCTTGGGCTTTGTAATTTTTTTTACTTGCAGAGTTGACCATCTAAAATGAATGTTATTTTCTTTCTACAAACAGACACATACTGGTATAGAAGGAAAGGAAGATTGTTTTGGCAATCTGGTATTCAAATTTGACACCGTCTTAAAAACAAACAAAAATGAACTACACTTAAGAGCCTCTTATTTGGAAAACATTGTGCAAGGTGCCGCACACATGTTACGTCTCATCTTCACACAGCCCTGAACAACAGACATCATCCTCATTTTAGATATGGAGAGGTAGAGACTGGGGAGCTTAAGCTGAGTAGGGCAATGACTTTCAAAGACATTCCAAGCAGTAGAACCCTTCTCCCAGTGAGCCCCTCTGCACTCTGTTGTCCACCAACACCGGAGCAGGAACAGCGAGGGAGCCACTTGGCCTGCAGCCCCATGCCAGGGCTGGCCGTGCGCCCACGGAGTGTGGATGGCTACGAGAAACACACCACGGGAAAACCACCAGGCTCTTCCCAGGCATCAGAATCCAGCCCTCCATCTAGAAAGCGGCACAAAGGGGAATGAATAGGAAAACGGCGGAGGCTGGAAAAATGTGAAAACGGATCAACTCACTGTCTTCGTTCTGTTTCTGTTTACTAAAAACCCCAGAGACATGGAAGTGTAATAGATAATGGGCAATCTCATTTCCAAACATAAGTTTTTTCTCTCAATGACTTTATTTCCATAAAATAGTAGATAAGGCATTCCTCAAGGGAATAGTGGAGACCTGGACAGAGAAGAGAAAAAAGTATTGCAACTGAAAAATAAAAATAGCCGGGCTCGGTGGCTCAGCCTGTAATCCCAGTGCTTTGGGAGGCTGAGGTGAGTGGATTGCCTGAGCCTGTAGGTTCGAGACCCGTCTGGGCAACCTGGCAAACCTCATCTCTACAATAAGCCAAAAATTAGCCGAGCGTGGTAGCGCGCGCCTGTAGTTCCAGCTACTTGGAAGGCTGAGGCGGAAGGATCGCCAGAGCCCAGCAAGTTGAGGCTGCAGTGGCCAGCAGCGGCCACTGCACTCCAGTCTGGGTGACAGAGTGAAACTCCAACTCAAAAAAAATAAAAATAAAAATAAAAATATTCTTTTCATTTTGAAAAAATAAAAATCATCCAATACCCTTAGCTACCAGTCATTCTAAATAAAGCAGGAAGAGTCAGCATGCTTCCACCAAAAAAAACAAACAAAAAAACAAAACAAAAGAGGCAAACAGCTTCACACACAACTTTTCTAAAATCCTTCAAGTCCTATCAAGTTGCCCCCAGACAAAAACACAGATATCCCAACTACTGCTTTCAAATGGCACAAAACATAAGTCAAAAAACTTACTGGTTCTCCAAGTTTATCCAAATTGTCCAGGAAATATTTTACAGATTCACCCTAAAAACAAGAAGAAAGTAGTTATTAGAGCTTAGAAATGATTTATATTATACTACCTGGTAGTACATTTAATCCAAATACACTTTGTTTAGTCATCAATTTCAGACTGAACAGCTAACCTTCCTAAAATAAATGTTTAAAGTGTCTGCTCTATCACAAAGCGCTAAATCTGCAAAGGCTGGTTGATTTCATAGATGCTTCACATAATCAATACCCCAAGTGACCATCTATTTGAATGGGATTACAGGTATATTTTTTGATATGACTATATAGCCCTAGGACAGACGTAATTAGAAGGTGAAAACTGCTTTTGAAATCAATATAAGCTGGGCTCAGTGGCTCAGCCTGTAATCCCATGCCTTGGGAGGCTGAGGTGAGTGGATTGCCTGAGCCCTCGGGTTCGAGACCCGCCTGGGCAACTTGGCAAGACCTCATCTCTACAATAAATAAAAAATCAGCCGGATGTGGTAGCGCGCGCCTGTAGCTCCAGCTCCTTGGAAGGCTGAGGCAGAAGGATCACTGGAGCCCAGCAGGTTGAGGCTGTGGTGGCCAGGAGCAGCCACTGCACTCCAGTCTGGGCGGCAGAGTGAGATTCCAACTCAAAAAAAAAAGAAATCAATATAAATCAACTAAAATCCAAGTGAGATTCTTTTTTGTCTGCATTTTCTCTCTCAAGTTTACAGCAATGGCGGTAATCTTCATAGACAAGAACAAACCACAGAAGAGGCAAGAATTCCGTACAAAATCTTCCAGGAGCAGGCATGTGCCCGGACAGACACATCTTGCTCAGGACGACTCTGGACTGTGCTGCAGTCTTCGTGACCCAAGCAGCCTGCCTTTCTAAGTCCAGATTTCTACTAGACCTCCAAGCAATTTCAAACACTGAAACGGCATGAGAACATGTTCCTAGAATGAAAACACTTGGCCGCAGCACACAGGGAAGAGGGGCGCGCCGGGGAAAGAAGGGCCGTGTCTGAGTCCCCGGTCCTCGCCCTGCCTGCAGCCGTGGCCCAAGCCCCTGCAGGCAGGGCTTCCTTGCAGACAGGTGCATCGCCTGCACGTCTCGTTAGGTGGCAGCTCCAGCGCAGCCGTCCGTAACTAAGGGGTGCCTGGGACCACGCCCTGAGACAGAGCTGGAGAGGAGCAGTTCCCTGGCTGCTTGATCTCAAGACCCCTTGGTGTGACTTAAGACGGCTGACGCTCCCCCAGCCCTCTCTATATGGGTCACAGCTACCGACAGTCATCATGCCACGAAGTGAAACTGGGGAATTTTAACAAATATTTTACTTATGAATTCATTTTAAAATATCAATAAGCCCATTGCATGTTTTTATACACACACACATATATGCATTTATATATGTGTATATATATACATACACACACATATATATACACATATTTCTGTACGGCTTAGTAGAAGACAGCAAGTCTCTCATCTGTGCCTGCATTTTAATGGCTACAGCCTACTGTTTTGGTTGAAGTATATGAAGAAACTGGTTTTACGCAAAAATGTACAACCGATCCTTGAGAAAACAGGTGTCTGAACCACAGGGGTCAACTTTCACAGATCTTTAAAGCAAAGTTCTCCCCAAAGTGCCTGCCTCTTCGGCCTCCCATTCCACCCCCCGCCTCCGTTGCCCCACGACACCAGCCCCTTACCCCGCCCTGCAGACTTCTCAGCGTGACGTGACAAGGATGCAGGCCTTCATGGCAACCACTTCCACTTAACAAACAGTCAAGTATTTTCTCTTTCTTAGAATTTTCTTTTCTCTAGCTCACCTTATTATAAGAATAAGGTATATAATACATATAACATGCAAAATATTTGCTAATTGACGCTTTATGATGAAGACGCCGACTTGAGGAGCTAGAGTGTATTTCTCCTGCAGAGTAAACCAAGACAGAGTCTCCCCAGCCCCAAGAGAAAGGGGACCAGCAGCACGCTGCACAACACATCAAAGATGGGCTAACAACTAAAGTGCAAAGAAGAGAAAAATCCATCGACTGGGGCTGGAACCACGAGCCAGACTCTCGCCTGCAACACCGCAGCCCCCGGACGCAGCGGGGAAGGTAAGTGAGGGGAATTCCGGAGTCCTGTGGTCCTGCCATGGACTTGGGGGCCCCTGATCCTGGTGGGACTCAGTCCCCCACGTGAGGCGACCTTGCCAGCAGCCTGACCCAGGGCGGTGCTCTGCAGAAGCTCATGTGGAGTGGTGCAGGGAAAAAGAAAGCCCGCAGCAGTGCTGGCTCCATTTCCAGGAACTCAAGCCTCGCCGCGGTGGCCTGGAAGTGTGGGCAGGCCCCAGGGCAAACAGCTTCTGCCTAGGGCACTTGCTGTGAGAGTGCCAGAGGCCCTGAGGCTGGCTGTGCACCAGCATCCACTGGGCAGACTGCCCGAGGCCAAGGAGCCCGGGGAGGCATCGCCACAGCAAGCCCCCTCCCCGTGGAAACTCTTCTGGGCCTGCCCTGCACGACTGCATTACCCCAGTGACCAGGGACTCCCTCCTGATCCCCATTGGGGTAGCCAAGAGTGCACACAGGTGGGGTGCTCCAGCTCCCTCCCCTACCCCCCATATGCCCCTGGAAGGCTCAAAACAGAAAACTTGGCTAGTCCCCAGAGCCCCACCCTCAGCCTAGGCTGGCTGGGGACGTCCTCGGAGCAACACTTGTCAAGGAGAAACCCTACGGCCACCATCGCGGCCAGCTTTCTCCCACAGGCACCGCCTTCCTGGCTGGAACACAGCCCACCACACTGGAAATAATACCTCAGCTTTGGGGAAGGCCTGACCCCAGACCCTGGCTAACACACTTTCCAAGCCCCTCCGGCCACTCAGGATGCTGTGAGCCAGTGTGGGAAAGGAGCTGCCACATCAGGCAACTGAGAAACTCCCCCACCGAGGCTGCAGGTAAACAAGGGAGCCGCGCAGGGCCTACGCCAGCCCCCTGCAAACCTCAAACAAGGAAAAACAGTCTGCCCAAATGAGAAAGACCCAGAAAGATAATTCTGACAATATGGAAAAGCTGGCTCTACAACGTGTACGTCCCAAAGACCACACCGATATTTCAGCAACAAACCCTAACCCAAATGAAATCTTTGTAATTCCAGACATAGAACCCAAAAGGTTGATTATAAAAGTAATCAATGAACTTCAGGGAAAACTGAAAACCAACATAAAGAAATTTTTAAAACTACCGAAAACATGAATGAAAAATTCTCCAAAGAGATAGATACCTTAAACGAAAACCAAGCTGAAATTCTGGAAATTAAAGAACCATTCAGAGAATTACAAAATGCAGTGGAAAGTTGTAACAGTAGACTAGAACAAGCAGAATAAAGGATCTCAGAACTTGAAGACAAAGCTTTTGAATTAACCTCATTAGACAACCATAAAGAAAAGAGAATCAACGGAATGAAATAACATCTCCAAGAACTGTGGGATCATGTACAATGTCCAAATCTGAGAATTATAGGTGTTCCTGTGGAAGAAGAGAAAGCAACAAGTTTGAAAAACTGATTTAAGGGAATTGGAGAAAACTCCCCTAGCCTTGTCAGAGATCTGAACATCCAGATACAAGAAGCCCACAAAAGTCCCAGAAGATTCACTGCAATAAGGTCATCCCCAGAGCACATAATCTTCCAGCTATGTAAAGAAGTGAATTTTAAGAGCAGTGAGACAAAAGCATCAAATAACTTGCAACGGTAAACTTGTCAGATGAACAGCAGACTTCTTAGCAGAAACCCTACAAGCCTGACGACACAAGGGCCCCATCTTCAATCTCCTCGGAGTAACAGACAACCAAGGATTCTGTATCCCACAAAACTAAGTTTCATGCCGGGCTCGGTGGCTCAGCCTGTAATCCCGCGCCTTTGAGAGGCTGAGGTGAGTGGATTGCCTGAGCCCGCGGGTTCGAGACCCGCCTGGGCAGTGAGACCTCATCTCTACAATAAATCAAAAAAGAAAATCAGCCGGGCGTGGTAGCGCATGCCTGTAATTCCGGCTACTTGGAAGGCTGAGGCGGAAGGATCGCCGGAGCCCAGCAGGTCGAGGCTGCGGTGGCCGGGAGCGGCCACTGCACTCCGGTCTGGGCGACCGAGTGAGACTCCAACTCAAACAAAAACAAAAACAAAAAAAACTAAGTTTCATAAAGGAAAGAGAAATAAAGTCTTTCTCAGACAAATAAGTACTGAAGGAATTTGTCACCTCTCAACCAGCTCTACAAGAAATACTCAAAGAACTTCTAAATACCGAAACAAAAGGTTGAAATGCACCAGTAGGAAAAGACTGAAAATCATAAAGTTCACAGACCTTATGAAACACCAACACAATAGAAACAAACAAATAAACAAATAAAAGCAATCAGATAACAATCAGGATGTAAATGGAATAGTACCTTATATATCATCAACTCAGAACGTAAATGGTCTCAACACCCACTAAAAAGATACAGAATAGCAGAACGAATACAAAAGAAAACATAACCCAAATATCTGCTGTCTTCAAGAAACTCATGCACCACACACAGACTCCTATAGACTCAAGGTAAAGAAGTAGGGGAAAACATTTCATGTATATGGAAACCCAAAACAAGCAGGAGTAGTCATTTTCCTCTCAGAGAAAACAGACTTTAACAACAGCCAGGTGCAGTGACTCACACCTGTAATCCCAGTACTTTGGGAGGCTGAGGTGAGAGGATTGCTTGAGCCCAGGAGTTCAAGATCAGCCTGGGCAACACTGAAAGACCTTGTCTCTATAAAAACAAGCAAATTAGCCGGGTGTGGTAGCACATGCCTCTAGTCCCATCTACTTGGAAGGTCAAGGTAGAAGGATCACTTCAGTGCAGGAAGTGAAGGCTGAAGCGAGCCATGATTGCACCTCTGCACTCCAGTGTAGGTGACAAAACAACAACTTGCATGAAAAAAAAAAAAAAGACCAAGATGGTGATTATGTAATGATAAAGAGATCGATTTTAACAATTCTCACAAAAGGCATTAAAAA